GTGTGGGTCACCTTCCTCCCCGTGTACCACAGCACCAAGGGGAAGGTCATGGTGGCCATGGAGGTCTTCTCCATTTTGGCCTCTGGTGCGGGGCTGCTGGGCTGCATCTTTGCCCCCAAGTGTTACATAATTTTGTTAAGACCAGATAGAAATTCTCTACATGGATTTAGAGATAAAACACATTCTAACAGAAAGAAATCTTTCTAAGTTAAAAAATGTTTTCCCTAAGAACCTTAATGGCTCTGGACCAAACCTCTACCATGTTTTTACAGTTACATATTACATTAAAGCATGAGATTTACTTCAATTATCAATTGATTCATTTCTTTAGTAATCTGAAATTAGGTAATTATTGTAAAAATTATGTTTGCACCTTGAATTTTCTTTTGAAATTTTTTTGTTCTGCCCATAAAATCTGCAATTAATCCTTATATTTGTGCTTAAGTTTGATTTGGTTTTATTTATCCTATGCACCACTTGACCTTCTTGGTCATTTTTACTGACATTTCTCATGGTTTTTGTCTGTGAATTGCCATGTTACAGAGTTTTCTTAAATGTTTTGTTACAGTTTTCCCTGCAAGCAGTACTATATCTTAAATATGCTGACTATAGTTTATTTTGATAATCAGTTTAATATTTCCTTGTTCAAGTTTGCCTCTCAATGTTTCTGAATCTATTTTTGCAGAAATTCCTTCTCACATTATCTTTTGAATCCTGGGGTCAGCTGACCACATGTGATAACAAGTACTCTTGTATTTCAGTGGAGCATAAAGCATTTTTCTTGCAAAGTCTTATAAACATGTGTATGTCAAAGTCATGTTTACTCTTTAGTATATTTCTATTGATGAATTAGTACTTATAAAAGTTTTGTTATAGTAAGCAATGAGTGCCTAAAAGGAAAATATCAGAAAGATAAAGTATTGCATTTTTAATATTTTTTATTTATATAAAAGCATCGAAATTTTATTTATTTTAAGGATAAAGAATTAAAACATATTAATAGCCACACATACATTTGCAAAATAACACAAAAACAATACAAGCAATACAGAATTTCAGACAAGGTGATAGGAAATTGACAATGTTGTATTACACAATGACATCTTCAAATTGCTTACTCAGATAAGCAAATATAAGCACATAAGATTGATCAAACAATTAAACATTAACTGTTCCTTTTAATAAATCAATAGAAATCAGTAGTACAGCTATCTTAGCTATCCTGTGTATACAGATATACATATTTCCTTTGTTTCTTTCTGTTTGTTTGGTAATTGCTGTAACATGTCTAAAAAAGAACAATAGAAATGTATATATCTGTATGACAGGCAATGAAAATACCAACTGCAATCTAGAAATAATGTTTATTTCAGTTATCAAATCTAAGGTAGGCAGTCTTAACACAGGACCACAAAACATTCCATACACATATATCATTTACACTGAGAACAAATGTATTTTGCTTTCTCAGCCTTCTTCATCTCACTGGTCTTATTATTGTGTCAGGAGGTTCTTATGATCTTATGCAATGTATAGTTAAAAAGGACATAAAATAATATAAAGTATTAAATTTTGCTTTCCTGGTCTTTTCACATTTCATTGATCTTACTGTTGTGTCAGGAGGTTATTCTTATATTATGTAATGTGTAGTTAATAGGAACATAAAATAATAACATAAAATATTAAATTCTTAATATATATTTTACATTTAGAATAGACACATTTTCACATCGAGCGTCCTTGCTTACAAATCTGGAGCGATAATATCAGAACCTATAACCTATGGGAACTACAGTGTAAACACAAACAAATGTCTACCACATAAGGAATCTTTGCTTCAACTGTCACACCCAGAGCAGTCTTCACACGTGTCAGCTCCCTGTCCCATGCACAAGCATCACTTACATTGATAGCACAGATGTTTCTTTCCTGTCCTTTCTTGTATGAAACATTTGACATCTTTTTGGTTTTCCTGTTATTGTAGTAGGTCTTGGGATCCTTGTAAACTCTGGTGCTCCTACTTTGAAGAGAGTCATCATTAGACAAGTTGCACACTAGGAGAGGCAGCTGCAAAAAGAATAAGATAATAGAAGAGGCATCTTGTAAGTATCTACAGATGGTTCAGTGCAAAGGAAGATGGGATCTGCAGTGTCTGATATCTATTTCATCATTTCTAAAAAGGTAGATGCTTCAGTAATCTTGAGTAAGCTCAGCCAAGCCTCCTCCATGTCCATGGAGAAAATTTCCATCATTTTGTCCTGAAGCTCTGCATCCAAGGTCTGGTGTCTCTGTGAAAAACAAATGTTGGAAAATGTTTGAAGATCTGCTTCTGCATCTCCGGGCACTGCATTTCGATCTAATCACTTATGCCAAGTTCCCAGGAGCCTCCTCCTCCTGTGCACATTTTGTCGCAACCCATTATATTTTGCAGGTGCATCCATTTTCCTACAAATATCTCCAGTTTGTAATTCTTCACAACCAAGTAGCATTCCCTTATGCTTAGATGCCACGTTTACATTATCCAGTCCTCTGTTGATGGATATGTAGGCTGCTTCCAGGATTTAGCTATTATGAATTATGCTGCTATAAATATTGGTATGCATGTATCACTTTAGCATGATACATTTAGCTCTTTGGGAAAGATAGCTAGAAGAGGAAAAGCAGAGCCATAGAAATTTATAAGTTTAGTGCTTTGAGGAATCTCCACACTGATTTCTATAGCGACATTTTCAGTTTATATTTCACCAGCAATGTAAAAGGGGTCTTTTCACAGCAGCCTTGGCAGCATTTGTTATTTTTTGATTCCTTGATTTATAACAGTCTTTTTGGTGTAAAATGAAATCTTAGTATTGATTTACTTTACATTTCTTTAATGGCCAAAGATGTTGAACATATTTTCGTATAGTTGTTGACTATTTGTATTTCTTTTTGTGAGAAGTGTCCATTGATTTCACTTGCCATTTTCTTTATGGGGACTTTTATACTAGATGGTCTACTTTTTCAAATTCATTATCTTTTTTCTTTGTCTTTTTGAGACAGGGTCTCAATATGCAGTTAAGGTTGGCCTTGAGCAAACTTTGCAGCCTAGGCTGGTCTGGAACTCGCAAGGATCCTCCTTGGCCACCTCCATTCTTGGCCATCCAATTGAACCACCCACACCTGGTTCAATTTCACTATATATTTTAGATATTCCTATGATATAACACAATGAGGAAACATGGACAGATAATATCCAGAGTCAGAAGTCATGAATCTGGTGAAAATTTGATTTGAAACATTTACATTCCAATGAGTGTCAGAAAATGTAATTTTCTTATTTAAGCATATAATTTGTAATATTTGTTAAAGCACCACAGGAAAATAGTTCAGACTTTATATCACAGAGCTTAGATACCAGGGGCATTCAGGAGCAGAACAAACGGTACAAATTTCAACTTAGAAGCTTTCTTTAAAAAACATTAGTTTCTCTAAACCAATGTCCTTGGTGTAGAAGTGAGAGTTTCCTATAGCTTTAGTTCCTGAACAGCCTTCTGAAGAGTTTGAGACACAGGTATAAAGAACCTGACCAAAAGAACCAAATAAGATCACTACATATTGGTTAAGGAAAAAATTTAACAGGAAAATATAACACTTATAAACCTATATGCACCAAATACCACCACATACAATTTCATAAAACACAGAAAATGGGTATAAAAGATGAGACACAATCATAGTGGGGAACCTGAGTACCCCAGTCACATACTTAAACTAATCACCTGGACAAAATCATCAAGAATGCAATGTCAGAGTTGAACAAACCTTTCAATAAATGGACCTAATAGATATCAATAGAGTGTTCCACACAAATACAACAAAACACAAATACACATTCTCAGTAGTACCTGACAAATTTTTCACAATATACCATAGTGTAGCCCATAAAGGTTGCCAAACTCAATGCAAAATAATTGAAATTATCCTATGAATATTATTAGATTATAATTTCTTCTATTATGCCTCCAAGTGGTTACATTTCAGATATTACATTAATATCATTCATCCATTTTGAGTTAATTTTTCTTCCAGATGAGAGATAGAATTCTAATTTTTTTGTCTTCTTATGGATAACCAGTTTTCCAAAATTGTTTCTTTTTTAAAACCCACTTTTCCTGACACGTATATTTTTAGTATGCTAATTGCAGAGAGATCAATTGCCTAAAGATTCATGTGTTGATTTTTGGACCTCTGCTCTGTTCCCATGTTGTATGTCTATATTTATGCCAGTAAAACACTATTATGTTACAATGGCTCTGTAATGGTGAAGTCAGCAATTTTGAGTCCTCTAAGATTGCTCGTTTTACTCATCATTGCTTTGGCTCTTCAGGGTCTTGTACTCCATTAACCATTTTGTGATGCTTTTCCAATCCTGTGAAAAATGTCAAGAGAACTGGTTGAATCTTTGCCTCATTTAGGAAGAATATTGCCATTTTAAAAATATTGATTTTTCCAGGTCTATGTACATGGGAAGTCTGTACAATTTCTATTTTATTGTTCAATTATT